AAAAATTGTACTTTAGATGAAGGTTTACAGAGCAAATTAGTTTCTCATTAAACAATTAATTCACATATTGTTTTGTGACATTGGTTGCCAGCCTCATGACATGTCAACACTTTCCCCTTCTTGACCTTGGGTTCCCTGTTATGAACTTTCCTGTCCCCTCCTGCCTTCTCGTCCTTGACCCTGGGTTGATGTGTCCATTTAGTCTCATTTTGTTTTATGGGCCTGTCTAATCTTTAGCTACAGAGTGACTTCAGTACTGAGTTAAAAAGGTGTCCGGGGGTCATACTCTCAGAGTTTCTCCAGTCTCTGTTAGACCAGTAAGTCTGGTCTTTTTTCACAGTTATAATTTTGTTCTATATTTTTCTCCAACTCTGTCCAGGACCCTCTATTGTGATCCCTGTCAGAGCAATTCGTGCTGGCAGCCAGGCACCATCTAGTTGTGCTGGTCTCAATCTGGTGGAGGCTATAGTAGTTATGGTCCATTAGTCCTTTGGACTAATCTTTCCCTTGTGTCTTTGGTTTTCTTCATTCTCCCTTGCTCCAGACGGGGTGGGACCAGTGGAGTATCTTAGATGGCCACTCACAAGCTTTTAATACCCCAGACACTACTCACCAAGGTAGAATGTAGAACATTTTCTTTATAAACTATGTTATGCCATTTGAGCTAGATGTTCCCTGAGACCATGATCCCACAGCCCTCAGCGCAGTAATTTGGTCCCTCAGGGAATTTGGATGTGTCTATGGAGCTTCTGTGACCTTGCCTTGGTCAAATTGTGCTGACTTCCCCAGTATTGTGTACTGTCTTACCCTTCACCAAAGTTACCGCTTATCTATTGTCTAGTTAGTGTTTTTCCCTCCCCTCCCCTCACTCATAACCATCAAAGATTGTTTCTTTCTGTGTGTAAACCTTTTCATGAGTTTTTATAATACTGGTTTCATATAATATTTGTCCTTTTGTGAGTGACTTATTTCAGTGCCCTCCAGATTCATCCATGTTGTGAGATGTTTTGCAGATTCATCATTGTTCTTTATTGTTGCGTTGTATTCCGTTGTGTGTATGTACCATAGTTTATCTGTTCATCTGTTTACGGGCACCTAGGTTGTTTCCATTGTTTTGCTATTGTGAATAATGCTGCAGTGAACATGGGTGTGCATATGTCTATTTGTGTGATAGCTCTTATTTCTCTAGGATATATTCCTAAGAGTGGGGTGGCTGGATCATATGGTATTTCTATTTCTAGCTTTTTAAGGAAGTGCCATATCACTTTCCAAAATGGTTGTACAATTTTACATTCCCACCAGCAGTGTGTAACAGTTCAAAGCTCCCTGAAGCCTCTCCAACATTTGTTATTTTCTGTTTTTTTGATTCGCACCAGTAATGTTAGGGTGACATGGTATCTCGTTGTAGTTTTGATTTACATTTTTCTAATGGCTAGTGATCGCGAGCATTTCCTCAAGTGTCTGTTAGCCACCTGAATGTCTTCTTTGGTGAAGTGTCCATTCATATCCTTTGCCCATTTTTTAATTGGATTATTTGCCTTTTTGTTGTAGAGGTGTTGGATTTTCCTGTAGATTTTAGAGATTAGACTTTTGTCAGATTTGTAATAGCCAAAATTTTTTTCCCAGTGTGTAGGTTCTCTTTTTACTCTTTTGGTGAAGTCTTTTGATGAGCATAAGTGTTTAATTTTTAGAAGATACAGTTGTCTAGCTTATCTTCTGATGTTTGTGTATTGTTAATTATGGTTTGTATGCTATTTATGCCATATGTTAGAGCCTCTAGCATTGACCCTATTTTTCCTTCTATGATCTTTATAGTTTTTGGTCTTGTATTTAGGTCTTTGATCCATTTTGAATTAGTTTTTGTGTATGGTATGAGGTATGGGTCCTGTTTCATTTTTTTACAGATGGACATTCAGTTTTGCCAGCACTATTTGTTAAAAAGACTGTCTTTTCCCCATTTAATGGACTTTGGGCCTTTGTCGAAGATCAGGTGACTGTAAGTGGATGGATTTACATCTGGGTTCTCAATTCTGTTCCATTGGTCAATGTGTCTGTTGTTGTACCAGTACCAGGCTGTTTTGACTACCACAGCTGTATAGTAGGTTCTAAGGTCAGGTAGTGTGAGGCCTCCTACTTTATTCTTTTTTTTCATTAGTGCTCTACTTATCTGGGGCCTCTTTCCTTTCCATATAAAGTTAATGATTAGTTTTTCCATCTCATTGAAGAATTTCGTTGGTATTTGGATTGGGATTGCATTGTGTTTGTAGATTGCTTTCAGTAGAATTGACATTTTCACAATGTTGAGTCTATCTATCCATGAGCATGGTATGTTTTTCCATTTATGTAGGTCTCATTTGGTTTCTTGCAGTAGTGTTTTGTAGTTTTCTTTGTATAGGTCTTTTACCTCCCTGGTTAGATTTATTCCTAAGTATTTTATTTTTTTAGGCACTATTATAAATGGTATTTCTTTCCTGATTTCCTTTTCATAGTTCTCTTTATTGATATATAGGAATCCAGTGATTTTTGTATGTTTATCTTATATCCTGCTACTCTGCTGAATCTTTGTGTTAGTTCCAGTAGTTTTCTTGTGGAATCCTTTGGGTTCTCTATGTATAGTATCATATCATCCACAAATAAGGATAGTTTTACTTCTTCCTTACCAGTTTGGATGACCTTTATTTCTTTTTCTTGCCTTATTATTCTAGCTAGGACTTCCAGCACAGTGTTAAATAGGAGTGGTGATAAACAGCATCCTGGTCTTGTTTCTGTTCTCAGGGGGAGTGTTTTTAGCCTCTCTCCATTAAGAATGATGTTGGCCTGTTGGTTTTGTATGGATGCCCTTTATTATGTTGAGGAATTTTCCTTCTATACCTATTTTATTGAGAGTTTTTATCAGGAACAGATGTTGGACTTTACTGAGCGCCTCTTCTGCGTCAATTGAGATGATCATGTGATTGATTCTTTTGTTTGATTTATGTGGTGGATTACATTGATTTTCTAATTACACTGACATTTTTAATGACTTCATTTTTTTTTTCACTTAAACTTTTAAAAGAGTTTTTATTGTGGTGAAGTGTATGGGTTATGGATTGAATTCTGTAAACCAAAAATATCTATTGTAAAGCCTAACCTCTATGCCTGTGGTTATAATCCCATTTAGGAATGGATTGTCTTTGTTGTGTTAATGAGATATGATTACTGTAGGGTGTGTCTTAAATCAATGTCTTTTGAGATATAAAAGAGATTAAACAAGCAAGCCAGGAAGCAGAGATGGAGGAAGATCACCCACGAACAGAAGCTTGAAAGAGACAAGGACCTTTCTCCAAAGCCAACAGAGAGAGAGAAAGCCTTCCCCTAGAGCCAGCACTCTGAATTAGGTCTTCTAGCCTCCTAAATAGTGAGAAAATAAATTTATTTGTTAAAGCCACCCATTTGTGGTATTTCTGTTATTGCAACACTGGATAACTAAAACTGTATGTAACAAAACATTTCAAATGACTTTATTTTTAAAGCAGGATTTTCTCTGTAATAGTAATTACTACTATTAGTCGAGTATCGACTCAATGCCATGCATTATACCATGGGTTTACATGCATGATCTTATTTTATCCTAAAAGCAACTTGTCAAATGGGTAGTTTTATTCCAGTTTAACAGATGGAGAAACTTAGGCTCAGGGATTCTCGGTTACTTGTCCAGGTTCATGTAGCTTCTAAGTGATAGGACTGGATTGAAAGCCAAATCTATTTGACTCCAAAACCCAAGCATGTGCCATGGTGACTCTTCTCGGGAGGAAGTGAATACAATCTTGGGGTCTTGTATTGCATCCTCAGGTAATGTCTTTCACATACCCGTCTTCACCTGATAAAATCCTACCCATCCTTAAAAACTCACCTGAGACCCAACAACCTCTTCATAACAATTATACTAACATTCACTGAGTGCTTATTGTGTCCAAGACACTATTATAAGTGCTTTACATGCATTCTGTCATTTAATCCTCATAGCATCCCTATGAGATGGGTAATACTATTATTATCCTCATTTTGCAGATGAGGAAACTAAGGCACAAAGAGAGTACGTAATTTGCCTTTTTGGCTCTCTCCACCAGTTTGTGGCCTCTGCCTCCCTCCTCCATACCTCCGAGGCACTCTGTCACTCTGTATGACCCTTTTCTGCCTTATGGTAGTTATGCATTAACTGTTCTTATTCGTGTCCCCCTTCTTGAAAGCAGAGACATGGTTATATTAGTGTTGGTGTGTGCTGACCATCTGGCTCTGTCCTTTGCACGTATTAGACATGCCAGAGTTATTTATCTAATTGAATGAAACAGTCGCATGTGTTGCTGAGCTGGGTTTAAATAGTCAAAAATAAAATAAAAAGTTCTTCATTGGAAAATGCATTTGAGTCTTGGTGAAAAATTCAAAATATTTTCCATTCGTGAATCCTTTCCAGAGTTGTTGACTGGAACCATGATAATCCTTGTAAAAGTGCGTATTCCCTGAAATGGACTTTGTGGTAGATTCTTGGAGAAGGTATCAGGTCAACTGCCTTTTTCCTACTGAATCATTTAAAGAGTTGCCAGTTTAGGAGCTCTGTATGGTGAAGAATACGGTGGGGCTTTTTCTTCATTTTTTGTATTGATTTTCCAGGCACTTTAGTGTTAAACCATGCCAGAAGTGTTGCAGAGATGAATCGCTATTATCCAAAGACCGCCAGCCTCTTTTCCTTCTGACAGAAGGATAATTCCACGTGGATCAAATAAATACAGATGTGTAGTAATTAGTTCTATTCCCAGTGAGCCTATTTCCAACACACTAAAGATGTGAGCGATTATGGAGCCTCACCCCAACAGCTTTTATCAATTTAAACTGCTAAACAACAGGATAGGTCATAACCCAGCCTGCTATTAATAACCTATTTATTGTGTGCAACGTTATAAATTAGGTGTATGGCTAGAAAAGGAACACCTTTTAACAAGAATAATGTGATCTTTCCCCAGAAGCAGCATATGTGCCTATCCACTCACCTGATGTACAGTCCCAAGGCAATCAAAAGAATAAAAAATCTCATCCAAGGAAAAGAGGCCTACATTGTTGGTGGGATGCTTCACAGAGATGATTTAGCTGTGGCCGATATGTTAAACCTACCCATCCTGGGCCCGGAGCCTAACCTAGCTCATCTTTATAGTACCAAGTCTGGAAGTAAACAGGTCTTTAACCGTGCCAATGTGCCAGTCCCTCCTGGGATATGTGACATCTATAATGAGCAACAGGTATGTGGGGTGGACCACTGAGGCTCTGTTCAAATCTCGCATGTCCTTTAGACCTGTGGCACCTTCAAGCCTACTAAAGCCAGCCCTGCCCAATAAACATTACATGGATTACTTGAGTTGATTTGGGGAGATAGACTTTAGGCCTTCATGTTTCAAAGTATCTTCCTGTTGGCCTTGCAAAATTGCTGGATTTCCAAAATGTTTACTCATTTGGATTAAGACATTGAAGACCCTGCTAAAATTTGTATGTTAATTGGACTAATGCACTCATCTACTATCAATATTTAATGCCTTAACATGGATTCGTTCATCATCATATCAGCTAGCCAGTCATTTAGCAGGTCCCTAAGAAACAGGAGAGTCAGTTTTATCTAAAAGGGGAGCTGGCTTGGTAAATTCCAGGGAATGAGCCTGTCTGCCAAGCCAGACAGCCACTGCAGCAGAGGGCTGCAGACATCCTTGGCTCTGTAAAAAATCCCTGGTCTCTCCAGAAAGGAACCCTACAGGGAGGAGGGGATAGAGCCCAGAAAGGGGAAGGGACCAGCTCAAGGTATAAAACTGTCTGCCTCCAGGTTTTGCCTTGGCTATGCATCCTTCCAGAAGATAGTTAGGGTCCAGAATATTTGGAGAAATATAACATTAGCCACTAGAAATGTTTTTTTTTTTTTTCCTTTGAGTTAGCCCTGGCAGGTGTTCTCCCATTTAACTGCCATCTGTTTTCATAATAAAGGAAAGAAAAAGACAAATGGCTATTAGCATTTCCTAACCTCTGTTTCAGTACATCACTTGACCATTACTCTGAGCCAATCACAAATTATCCCAACCACCCACTGCCTGGGCAACCAAAGGACCGTGCACCATGAGAGAGTTCGTGAGGGACGATATTGTGGAGATCCCCCTTCTGCTCTCAGTAGCCAGATCATGATGCGCTGCACCTCATAGCCATTGAGCCCAAAAACTCAGCCTCTCAACAAATTATACTTTTCAGTGACTAGTTTGAAGATACTATTAGCTTATTACATTTCCCTAGTGTTTCAGTCTTGCTGGAGTGTTTTACGGCAAACCATGGGCTTATGAAACGAGTTACTTTTTTTCCCAGCCAAGTCTGGGAGAAGAAAAAAAAAAACTGTTGCTTTTGAGTCAATACTGACTCATAGCGACCCTATAGGACAGAGTAGAACTGCCCCATAGGATTTCCAAGGAGCGCCTGGTGATTTCGACCTGCCAGCCTTTTGGTTAGCACCTGTACCTCTTAACCACTGCACCACCAGAGCTCCAAGTCTGGAAAAAGGTATGGACACGTTCTAGTAGGAGTGGCATAGAAATGCTGTCCTTGAACTGTTGCTTAATTTGCATAGTCATTAGTCTTCACTGCAATTTGAAGATAACAAAGTGGATTGCGTGACCTTGCTTCCCAGTGGAATACTTGGCTATAAGACTTAATGCAACTAAAATGAAATACATTCTTAAATGATACAGTTCCACATGTGCACATTACATTGAACAGTCTTCAAAATGTTTTCATGTATGTGCAATATTTATATTGAGCCTTGCTTTCATCTTCACTGATGAGAACTCAGACAATGTTTGCTCTGAAATATTTTAGAACTTTGTATGTTGATTGTGGTTAAAGATGCAGGCATATGTAATGCAGTAAAGCCTCCCTCTAGTGCTGGTATTCAGAAGTAGGATTAAAAACCTCCTCATAGACAAATCAAATTTGAGGGCTGTCATTTGGCCTATGGTATGTGCAAATTGGCATAACAGTAAACCAAGGTATAACTGAGTTCCACTCTACTTATTTGGAAAACATATGTCCTAGGTCATCAAGAATTATTCTATTGGCATTTTTCTAGGCAGTGACTAGCCTACCTAATCTATCTGAGGGTATCAGTATTTTGAATTTGCAGCTGGCGATGAATCAATAACACCGACTTTTTACCGATGTACATCATAAACTTAAAGCTGGTGAAAGCAAGCTGAGATTATTTTAACTTAGGTTAATAAATACTCCTCACTATCAGCTGGGTTTTAGCAGAAGTCATTTTTCCACTTCTGTTCTTTACCAGTATAAAATGAATGGCAACTAAAAAATATGTATTACACCTTTTGAACAGACAGACTCAAGCAGAAAATGATAAATGTTTGGAAATAGCATAAAGTCACTTGGTTTATGATTAAGTAATTTGTTTATTTTCATAAGAATCCGGCGTGAGCACAGTAAGCACTTCCTATTTTGATGCATAAAGTAACCGTGCAAGTTCTCTTTCTGGCATGTACTCGGTATGAAATATTGACAGCTTTGGTTAAATAATCAAAAACAGTGATGCTATTTTAAACCACTGTTCAATTTTCACTTAAAGATAGCACATAATTCTTTCCAGTGGTGCAGTCTTTACAATGCTATTGATCCTTTTCATTACTGTGGGGGATCCATCAACAGAAGCCCATTTATAGGATTCTCAGAAGCAACAAATAATAGGATTTGGAAGAAACAGATAATAATTGTGTTAGTAGTTGAAACCTCCAAATACACAGTATGGAATGTAACAGAGCCTATGCCGGAATACCTGTCCTTATACTCTAGCAAAAGAATTTTTATCAGATATTAACAGGCCAAAGACCATTTCTGCTTCTACAAAATATGATCATAATACAGCAAAATAGGATTGAATGTAGAATCTGTATCTTCTTAATACAACAACATCAGAGAAAGAAGGGATGTAACTTCCAAAAGAGTATTTAAAAACCTTCCTAGGCTGTGTGTTCATGGCCATATGGTGCGTAAACCAGAGGATTTACCATTTAAACAATGAAATTATCCACAGATACTACTGGATTACTAGGGAGCTGAAACAATTCCACTTTTACCTAATTGAAACACCATGGTTGCCTGGGGGCCCGCAGGGATCCGTAGTGTGGCCATTTCGATGTCACTTCCACAATGCTGTGTAGTATAACATCCCCAGGAAGATGTGCTGGATAGATACGACTCAAGAGAACAGATTTTGCCTTTAATCAAAATCGTTTTAATCTTACAGCTACAGACTTCACCAGAACTATAAATTTTGAGTCCTTTCACACTGTTTAGTTTTAAAAAAAAGTCTTTTTGGTGGGCAAAGATAACTCCTCAAAAGAGAAGAGAATGAGAGTATTGCAGAGACTTCCTTAAATACAGGAGACCATAGCCAAGAACAGCATGTGGGAGGCTCAAGAGCGGGAATGTTCTGGAAAGTATAGACTGGAAAGTGTGAAGAGAAGACAAGACAGGAAAAAAAGTCATTTTGTGGTCTTTCAGGTTACTTTTCTCCAAGGCTCTACTAGGACAGTATTACTTCTAATTAAGTAATCTTGCTATATACACTATTATCTGATTCAAACACACCACAAATGATTTATTGATTGTAAGGAAAGTTGCTTCTCTTGCTCCTCTTCCGACTTTATTTCTCTGGCTCACCCTTTGCCTCCCTGCAGGTTGAGAGAGGGAATGAGCATAGATTTTGGAGTCTGAGCGAGCTGGTTGAGTCCCAGCTCTGCTACTGAACGCTGTGTGGCAAGTTATTTAAATTATCCAAGCCTCGATCTGTTGATATGTAAAATGGGCTTAATAACAGTGCCTATCTCATAGGTTAAGGAGCCCTGGTAGCACAATGGTTAATCACTTGGCTGCTAACTGAAAGGTTGGCAGTTCGAACTCACCCAGTGGCTCCATGGGAGAAAGACCTGGTGATCCGCTTCCATAAAGATTATAGCCAAAACACATGTGAGGAACGTGCTTGTTAGTTCAATCAAGAATATGATACCAAATGGGCAACACCTGCCCAAAAGCAAAGACAAGAAGGCAGGAAGGGACAGGAAAACTGGACGAATGGACATAGAGAACCCAGGGGGGAAAAGGAAAGGGGGAGAGTGCGGACACAATGTGGGAATTGCAGCCAATGTCACAAAACAATTTGTGTGTGAATGTTTTAATGAGAAACTACTTTGTGCTATAAACTTTCACGTAAAACAGAATAAAATTAAAAAAAAAAAAAAAGACTGCAGCCAGGAAAAACCCTATGGGGCAGTTCTACTCTGTTAAATAGTGTCACTGTGAGTTGCAAATCGACTCCATAGCACCAAACAAAAACAAACATCTCATAGGTTATTGAGAGAATTAAAGAGGAAAATTTATGTCAAGAGCTAAAGAGCTTAGCCAAGGGCCTGGCTCCTAGTGAGCGTCCGGTAATGCTTGATGTCATTATCATTCATTATTTTTATATTATCACTTTTATCATTTTGATATTAGAGCTTGAACTTCTGTCCCTTAAATTTCCATGTATTTGAGTCTATTCTTGAGAGAATGCTATTTAAAATAAAATGTATGGTTGGTGTGTATTCCAGGAAAGTTGCCTCCATGAATGTTTTATCTCCTTTATCTGTCTTGTTCATATGATACACTTCATCACAAATGGCCAATTGACCAGCCAAACAATGTACTTCATGTACATTAATGAGGAAAAAAATTAAATGTTTTATAGATTATAACATTTAAAAGCTCAACAAAGCTCCAAACAGTTAAAATTCAAGACTGTAACTCTTTCTAGTCTTGCAACTATAAAAAAATCTTTTGAGTAATCAATAAGTAAACACATAATTCTCTGAAAAAGAAAACAATGCCAAGATTCAATTACACATATTTAAGAATTCTTTATTTTACTTTCACAAGCCAGCAAGATGGTAATTTCAGAATTTCTTATAAATAAGACTATACTTTTAAACATATCCTTCATCTCATGGATTAATGGTTTCTTCATGTCATATATACATCCCTTAAAACCTCTCCTAATATGTCTTAATAGCTAGAAGATAATGAACAGGTCATTGGAAGTAAAGCCACATGAGAAGTACAGCTAAGTAAATACAGTTAAAAAAAAAAAAAGGAATCCCAGGAAACTAGCTGTATTAAATGTTACTGTGTCTTTGGCCCCACAGATGATAGAACAGCTCAGTCAGCTGATCACCGATCACCTGGAAATCCAGCGCTGGATCTTCAAAATAAATGACGAGTTTGGAGGAAACGGGACTGCATTTTGTGACATTTCCTCCCACCTAAAGTGCTACAAGTGGGCCCTAAAGGAGAATAGCAGATACAGCCAAGAAGATTGGAACAAGAAATGGGCGCAAGTAAGTGTTCAAGGGTAGCTCAAACCCACAGTGTCTGTAAACAGGAGATGAAGCAAAAGGCTCAGCTAGGAGATGAAAGTACTTTCTTCTAGACTCAGCTCTGTCACCTACCAACAGGGAGACCTTAGGCAAGTCATTTTCGCTCTCTTGAGCCTTAGTTCTTTTATACAAAATGAATGGGGTTGATAAAACTATTTTAAATGTCCAGCCCTTGGATCCTAAAAGTCTTCATTCTTATCTTCAAATTGATTATGACAATTAAGAAGTAATTTTTAACTATTCAGGTAAGATTCAGATTTCATCATTTGCTCAAAGTGGGTTTGATTATGTACTTCCAAAAACTGTTGTTACTAAGCTAGCTGTGTTTGATTATGAGAGAGAAATTCTATTAGTGAATAGTTGTCATCTGGAAGCTAATAAATAATAGCATTCTGTCAGCATTCATATTTTTTTAAAATAATTCAGTGAAATTTACACAACTACTGATCCTTATGAGATGCTGAGAAAATAGTACATTCCAGCCAGAAAATCTCCCAACAAAAGCTGAGCAATAGGTAGGAAGTCTTAGCATATGACTGTATGTGTGTAGATTTTTCCATGTACATTGGTGGAGGCTGAATTATATAACCTCTCGGTCCATTCTAAATTGACTTAGATATTAAAATAATTGTATATGGTTTAACATATGAATTAAATCCACCATTTGAAAATCTGCCTCAGTTTGCATTCAAAGACTTAGACTTATCTGGCTTCTCTTAATCCGAAATATCTGTTATGGCTGACCTACTGGTTAAAGCAGAACTGATTAGGAAAATTCAGACACAAATTCCCTTAACTGATTCCTTCCCTACACGAATACATAGCAGTGGGCTATGCAAAGTGATTTACATCTGCTTTGAGCATCCCACTACAGAGGTCCATGAATCAAGACACAAGTGATAGAAAAGGGAGAGGCACACTAGAGGGAACCACATTATTCTTGTGAAAGTGGAATGATGAATAAATCTAGAGAACAGTCAGAAGAGAGAGTTCCCTTTGACAAATGTTACTGTTCTCCCCATGATCTGTTCTGGGCCTTTTTCCCCTCCATCAGTGAATGGACTAAATGAAGTTACCTGTCACTGCCAGCTTTTTACATATTATTTAAAAGATACCGAAGTGAATTACTCTTCTAGGAAAAAAAAAAAACAAGGAAAATGTATTTAATATTGAAACCCATAGAGGTTTCCCCTATGGTCTCTTTGAACTGGATTTTATTTCATATTGCATAGAATTTTCTTTTCAAAGTGAATCTGTTCAGATTAAAGAAGTACGATTTTTTTCTTTAAGAAATTGAAATTTTAGTGTGAAAAGCACTTGCTGCTATCAGCATTTTAAGCCAATCATTTTTAAAGGATTCTCCTGACACTAGACTATGATAAATTTGAAATGTTTGACTTTAAGTTTTTTTTAAAAAAAGTAAAGTCCTGGTATTTGGCTCAGTTGTACGTTATTTAATTTCGGTTACTATAAACTATCCCATTTTAAATAGTCACCACATACATTTGGCATTATTGTTCATGTTTTTAAATGGGAAACTCTTGAATAATTAATAATCTATCTAAATAAGTATTCAGAAATCTTTTTACAGTCTTGGGGCCCATGCTTAGGCTTGATGAGGTGAACAGCCAAAAATAAAAATACAGCAGTTCTGAAAAGCTTTTTTTTTTTTTTTTTTCTTTGTAGGAGACTTATTGACATCCTTTTGCCTTCAAAGTTAAATCATATTTAGAGGGGAAGTGAACTGCAGTCCCCATTGAGTGTAGCTATTGAGAATTTAGGATTAGAATTCTCTTTTGTTCCAGAAGACCATTGTAATGGCACACATTTAGACTTCAAAGCATTACTTTATGAGCACAGGCATGTTTTAATGTCCTATTACAGTTTGTAGACCTGTTTTCTTTTGATAATGAAGATGTTGTCTCATCAAGCCTACCCTGGCACATACAAAACATATGCTGGCAGGTTATTAAAAATTTCAGCTTCTTGATGAAAGACTATCCTGCAGGCTAAGAGTCCAGAGAAAGACTTCATTCTGGGAGAATTATTAGAAATGAGAATATGACTGTAAGCACTAAATTATGTTAATACTTACAAATAGCATCATTTGCATAGCAGTTTATGACTCGATACCATGATTTTTCTCATTGGTATGTTGTAGGCAACAGATTAAAAACAGTGCTGTTTATGGGTGTTTGAACTGTTTTGAGATTCTCTTGCAACCTGTACAGATACTGATTTTAGATGTAGGCAATATTCAGTATAGACTCAAATATCTAATATAAAGATCATCTTTTTTTGCTCTTATCTAATGTAGAACCAGGCTTATTTGACTGGTTACAGTTGAGACTTGAAACAAAGTCGTGGAGTCAAGAGATACTGAAAAGCTATAGTCACATTTTAAAAAATCAGTATACAATCAGCCCTCCGTATCCTCAGGTTCCACATCTGTGGATTCAACCAATTGTGGATCGAAAATAATTGGGAAAAGAAAAAGTTCCAAAAAGCAAAACTTGAATTTGCCACACACCAAGCACTACGTTGAATCCACGTGAATGAAATCATGTGTAGGCATACCCTGCTGTAGCCTCCCACCATTTCACAGATCCTCAGTCTCTCTCCAGCACTTTTTGTTTGAGCATTATTCACCTTGTGTCTTATCATTATTCCCTAAACAATACGGTACTGTATAACAACTATTTACGTAGCATTTACATTGTATTAGGTATTATAAGTAATCTAGAGATGATTTAAAATATGTGGGAGGATGTGCGTAGGCTATATGCAAATACTACTCCATTTTATATAAGGGACTTGAGCATCCGTGGATTTTGGTATCCATGGGGGTCCTGGAACCAATCCCACGTGGATACCGAGAAACGACTACAGACATGCAGGTGATTTTAGGAAAAGCAGAATGTTACGTGATGGCCACAGTGACAACAGAGCACTATTCTTTCGTTTTTCTTGGTGGCTTAGTTATTTGAACTGATCGAAGTATGAGTGCCCAACTGATAACATTGTCTCACCTTGAAAAACTTCCACATGTAAAGAAGTCATGCAGTTGGTGAACATCGTTCTCATTTTGTGATGAACACAGGGTCATCTTTTGGTTAAAAAGTATGCTTCCAGGTCCCACTTTGCCCCCTCTCCTTTCACCAAAGACGTGTCTACATAGTCTTTTATAAAAGAGATTAAGCCTGTGACTGATGGATCTAACCAGCTACCACAGCAGAAAACCCATCATCTTAGACTGAAGGGGACAGAGAAAGAACAAAAGGAAAGAACGCTGTCTGCCTCTTGGAATTCTATAGGCAGGAAGCAGGCCAAAGGAGCTACGTCTGTTGTCCTCCAAGAAAAGAAAAGGACCAATCCTGGAGCAGCAGAGATCATCAGAACTGTTTGAAGGAGCATGGGAAGCAGGGCCTTCTCAGTTTCAAAGGGTGGAGCCGCTGTCTCCTGGATCTCAAAGGGTGGGGCCTCCTAGGGTTCAAAGAGTCAGATCTTTGCCAACTTGGTTCTGAAGTGTGGGGCTGCCGTTAAGGTGTATTGGGGGATGGGGCTGCCGCCCACAGCTGAGGGGTTGGGGCTGCCATGCCCAAGGGGCAGAAGAACGGATCCTGCCGGGGCTGAGGAGATGGGGTCACCGTTCAGATGGACTAGGGGATGGGGCTACCCAAAGCTGAAGGAACAGAGTTGCTATCCCAGTGGGCCTAGAAGGTGGAGCTGAAGCTCAGGGCCAAGGGGCCTACACCCAGAATCCAGAGGACATGGCCAACACTCAGAGTCTGGAGGGCAGGGCTATTGTTCAGATAGTCTCAGAGAACAGAGGATTATCTTCAAGCCTTGAGAGCTAATGTAATTTGTTCTGCTGGATTTTGGACTTGGTTGGTACCTGTTATCCCTTCTTTCCTTCCAATTTCTCCCATTTCTAATGGAAATGTGTACCTTGTGCATGTTCTACCATTGTACTTTGGAAGCAGATAACTTGTAGTCTATATTTCACAGGTTCCCAGATGAAGAAGAATTTTGCCCCAGGAGAGAATATACCTAAAGTCTTGCCTATATTTGGTTTAGATGACTCAGAGGATGAGATTTTGGACTTGGAGTTGATTTAAGACTTTTGGATGATGTGTTGGGGTGAATGTGTTTTTCCTGTGGGAAGGACATGAATTTTGGGGGACCAAAGGGTGGAATGTTACGGATTGAATTGTGTCCCCCCAAAATATGTTTTGTAAATCCTAACCTCTATGCCTGAGGTTATAATTCCATTTGGGAAGAGGTTGTTTTTGTTATGTTAATGAGATAGGATTAGCGTAGGGTGTGTTTTGAGTCAATCTCCTACAAGATATAAAAAGAGCAGATTAGGACAAGCAAGCAAGCAGAGATGGCGGAAGAGAAATGCCAAGCCATATGAAGGCTGCCCAAGAGCAGAAGCTCAGAAGAGACAGAAGCCTTCCTTCAGAGACAACAGAAGAGAGAAAGCCTTCCCCTTGAGCCAGCACCTGAATTTGGACTTCTAGCTTCCTAAACTGTGAGAAAATAAATTTCTGTTTGTTAAAGCTGCCCACTTGTGGTATTTCTGTTATAGCAGCACTAGATAACTAAGACAGCAACCAAATATTTTTGTTGTCTGTTCTTGCCTTTTAATCTCCTGTTCAGGTTGACACAGTAAGCTCCCTTTTCAACAGAGTAGGTATTGGGATAGACTTATCTGGATAACTGAATGTTCAGAATAACTAAGAGATTGTCTGGCTTCGTAGTTAGGAGCTCTGACTATGGAGCCAGGCACACCTTCGTTAGACTCCCATGCTTACTAGGGAGGTGACCATGGGCCAGTTACTTCAACTCTCTAAGTCCCTGTTTCCTCATCTATAAAACACCAATAATATTGATACCTGCCTGGTGGGGTGTGGTGAGAATTAAATGAAATAATCCTTGTGAATTGGCTGGCAATGTAC